GCTACGCTGGCAGAAATTCCACTCGTTTTCACCTCATTTTTAACGGATCCGGATGAGTTTCATTTCCTGAGATGCCCCAAGTTTCGTTTGAACATTAATCAACTACGTAATCGAGCCATCCAACCGTTCATCGATGGCTCCCCGAACCGCTGCGGCGATCACTTTTGCGGCGCGAATTTTGCGGCGCGAACTTTACAGACCCATAATTTGCGGCGCAGACACGATTCCTGTTGAATTTTGCGGCGCGCACTTTTACCGACGCAGATTTTGCGGCCGGAATTTTGCAGCGCAACAAATATTAATGGAAATCATTTAAATTCAGAATTTGTTTTGAGTTCGGGATCAGATTTCAGAGAAATTTCAGAAATTCAGAATCAGAATCACCGCCAGTTTGTTTACCTTTCCCTGCCTTGTGGTTGTCCGTAGCATTCCCCGCCTGTTCAGCTGCAACTTTACGCAATGCCGTGACAAGAGACCTCTTGAGGGCGTCAGGCAAGGTGGGCCGTCGCTTCAGATGGGCTGCCGCTCCTCTTTCGGAAATCGAGGCGCCTGGGCGCTTCAGCGCTCATCGGGCGCCCCGATTTCCGAAGCCACCAGCTACCGACTCGCTACCATCCGAAGCAGCTAGGCCCCAGGTGGCACGAAGCCTTTTTCTAGTCGCAGAGCGAAAGAAATAATTAAATTTCCCCAAATCGAGTGACTCCTGTCGCAAAACAGTCTTCTAACGTTTCTGCCGAGCGAAATTCGGATGCAGTGCAAAATAACCAAAGGCCTCTGCCTAAGCATCGCGCCCAAAATTCAGCCGCAATGTTCGCGCCTGCAAAATTCGCGCCGCAATCTTCGACCACCAAAGGTTCGCGCCGCAAAATTCCCGCTGCAAAGTTCGCAGCCGCAAAATTCGCGCCGCAAGAGTTCGCGCCGCAAAAGTACGCGCCGCAAAGTTCGCGGCACCTCATCGATATAGTCGTCGAAGAGTGGAAGATGGGCTCGAGAAATTGAGGAGATTCAGTTTTTTCATGCGGTAGACGCAGCGCTAGGCTTGAGAAGCGCAGTCGAGAAGATGGGCAGGAAATTCAGATCCTTCATGAGCATCGGGGGCCAGGTGATAGCAGGTGTGATTCAGAAAATTTACCCTAATTTTGTTGCGCCTTATTACTTCGAAAAGTCATCACTTCTAAAAGTCATTATTTCTCAAAATTCTTAGCGTCGACTTATTGCATAAAAATGGCAAACGTGCAATTAGTAAATCGAGGCACCAACTTTTTAAGTTACAATTTTAGAAATGTGGTTTTTAAAAAATGACTTTTAGAAATGATAACTTATAGAATAATGCCTTACCTAGTAATGATCTCCCCCAGCACCATTTCTCGTTTCTAGAATCCCGGAAGCTCTTCCGAAACTTTTTGTCCTGCCTTATCTTTTCTTCGATTGCGTGTTGATAAAGGTATATTCAGTTTCATAGAGAGAACAAACAGGCGAACTCACGAAGATCTAACCAGGACATGTTTTGTGCGTCCGTGGTGTTTGGAAATCAGACCACGGCGATATTGTGCTGAATTTTTTTCGGAGATAAAATGACCGAAATCAGACCGGGAGTAGTGCCCGATAAATAAAATGGCTGCCGGCTGCCTCTGGCCTGGCAAAAAGCTGGCGGCCCAGTTCTTGCCGTCTCGCTGAAGGGCCTGGCGCGCTCCTGCCGGCTATCTGCCAGCTGTCGGGATACTGCCGAATTCTTGCCAGGTGTAAGCAGCTGTATTTATTCGAAGCCTTCCTCAAACTTCCGCATTTCTCGGATTTTCGCTGCGTTTTCGTTGGACGTTCACTTTCTTCTTTCATAAATTTATATTTTTGACGTTATTTAACAAGAGCTTATGAAAACGTCAGCCTATGCCCAACAGAAGCGACGCTTATTGTAATGGCAGAAGCACGGCAAATGGCCGGCGAATAACCGGCGGGATGAAGCAAAAACCCGGCAAAAGCTATTCGTGGAGAGCCGGCATGTGCCGGCAGAATTCCGGCTGCCGGGTTTTCGCCTGATGGCAGCCAGGTTCCTGCCGGATGGCAGCCGCTTGGCAATCGGCCGCTGCCACCCGGCAAGAAACCGGCCATTTCCCGGCTGCCACCCGGCAAGGTCCCGGCATCCATGACTCTGTGATATTTGGCATAGGGATATTAAAGATACATGCTTTTGGCAAAAAAAGGAAATTGTTTACGGGATTTCTTAATATGGAACAGATAAAAATTAACAGGAAACAACTAGCGTATGACTTACCGCATGAATAGAATGCCTGCCAGCACACCTTTGGCACGGCTGCCGAATATCGCGCCGGGCAGCCGTGCCGTGGCACTCCTGCCGGCACGCCTCGCCGGCAATTGGGCCGAAAATGGCTGTGGTACGGCTGCTGGCGCACCTTCCGCTTATTTTTCGGCAAATAAAACAGCATTGCTTATTTTTTTATTGCGTTCCAGCGGTGGTTCAAGAATATCGCCGTCACCGTCGCGTAGTTGAAACGGGAGAAGCCGCAATCCCTATTAGTTGGTTTCTTAGGTTTCTATTGCTGGTAAATCGGAGCCCGTCTTTTTCTTGGTGAACCTACGATTAAACGTTGACGATAGGCGTGTCGAGCATCTTCTAGTGTTGGCCTAGCAACTAGGTTCTATTCAATGATTGCTCAAGCGGTTCAAACTACTTGCTTTCCTTTTGCAGTATTTGCAGCTTGTTTAGTGGATCACTCAACACGCAAAACTAATTCCGCGTCAGAAAAGCACCATTTCAGGTTCAGCGCCTGAAAAAATGGTCAATGATACCTACCAAAGAATCGTTGTTTGTCACATTAGGCAAATGTCCATAATTTCAATCTAAATAAGTTACCGGGCAGGATTTCCGACCGAAAAGCTTTTACGTAAACTCGATTAGCAATGTACCTGCTAGGTATCATCAATTCAGTCAGTTCTTCGACCATGCTTAAAGACTTTTCTTGCCTCATACTTGTGGTCTAAAGGTTTCACCTGAAATCTCGAGCGTATAACAAACAAATTATACTCATAAGTAAGTAAGAAACCGCGTAGCTGATGGCGTAGTACCTATTCCTTCTTGGACAACACAAAAATGAGGCACTTTAGTAAGTTTTGAACCATTATTATGACTAGAACAATACTTAGCGCGGAGACCGGAAATTTTCTAAGTTATGGCGCGTTGCGGCTCACAAGCTGTCAGCGACAGTGGTCTGCCGGCACCCGTGCCGTGCAGCTGACCTCTCCGAGCCCCTCCGAGCTGCGCCGGCAACCGTGCCGAATTTTAGTTCGCCGGCAGCCGTTCCATCGTGCCGGCAGCCATGCCAGAGGGCGGTACCGCGCCGGCAGGCGCGCCACTCGAAACAGAGTTGCTATTCTTTGCAACCTGTGGGGCGAACGCACCCCAAGACAACCCGAAAGACAGCTCCCGGACGCTTGCGCCGCGGACACTTGCGCCGCGGACATTTGCGCCCCGACACCTAGCCTAAACTAGGTGGTGCAGCACAAGTGTCCGCGGCGCGTGTCGCGGTACCGAAAGACACCCGGAGGGTACGTTCAAAGACACCCGGGGAAACTATTAATGCACCCCCCGAGGGAGTGGGGTGTCTGTCTAACGAACCCTGGGGTGCGTTTCTTGGGGGTGCTTTCCGACACTGGCCGGGAGCTATATACGTAATTTTTAAGCTGATTCGGAAATGAGAAGATCGTCGTACTTTGAATCTCGGTACGATAAATATGCGGAGTGGAAGATAGGCGAGATGAGAAGAGAGGCTGAGGAGGGAGGATTCTACCAATACCATGCCGTGGAAAGCCTAGGATCCAAACGACCGGATCTTCGAAGCTTAGCTTTGCGGAGAGAATGATGCAGAAAATGGGTTACAAGGCAAAAGGCGCTCCTGGAAAATCTGGGGCAAGGTGGGTTTTATGGAACTCATTCGAACATTCTAACTTTTTAGGTGACGCCGAACCGGTTGCTCTATCGATGCAGCGAGGCCGCACTGGTTTGGGCCCCGATTCTGCAAATGTAATGCTCAATGAATTACTATTTCCTTTTAGGCGTTCGTTCACCCCGCTGCTCGAATGGAATGATTCGAGCGAGGTGAAGAATGTCAAGGAGGTTCGCTCCTTTTTCTGGCAGTTATCTTTTTCAGGAGATTGATTGGCTGGGTCTTTTGATCCAAGCGACCCACTCTCAGGCGAGCAGCGCCGCATTGAGGTTTTTGATTGCTAACTTTCGGAACCGATTTTTAGGTCGGACGCGTTATCAACACGGAGAAGTTCAAGGAAAAGAAGGTACAAACCCCTTTTTCCTATGAGTTGGTGGTAGGAAAATTGACGATTGATGACGAGGTTGATGTCGTGGATAAGAAGCTGCTCGCCAAACTCCTGGCAGCCAAAACGGTATTTTTTTTATGCCCAATTTATATGAGTTTGCGTTCTTAGGCTTTGGATGACATCGATCATTGGCGTCTTAATACAGCTCGGCGCCGCGCAAATCCATATGAAACGATTGCTTCTGGTATCTTCCAGGGTGAGCCTTGTTAGGCTGTTTTGTTCCTTAGGGTAACTGACTTAAAGCCATGCTACTTTTCAGAACCGTTCAGCTATGAAGGCTGCGAATCTGGATGCCGTCTTCGATTTCTCTTTACTGGCGAGGACCCGCAGCAAGTGGAGGTAAGCGCTTTTCTGCCTGAACAATTGATTGTTTAGAAAAATGCCCGTTGAAGTTGGACAGGATTGGGGAGAACACCACCCGTGATGCCCCACTCTTCTATTTTGCTGATGTCTGCGCCGGTACCTTGCTCGTTTTTACCTTTAAACCAAGAATGTCTGCGTTTAGGCCCTGGCGGTTTTTCGGAATACACCCTCTGGCGCAAGAACTTCTACAACGCCAAGGGATTTGGGTTTACGCTCAAAAGTGCGAAATTTTTAATTTCTATGCATTCTTTGTTTTAGATGACTGTGACTTCAACTTGCGCTAGTTCATGGCTTCGTCACCACTGCTTTTTGAGCCCCACTACGGTGAAACAAAGTTGGTTATCTTTTTATGTATTTAAGCTTTAGCCAGAAAGCCAATCAAAGTATTTTTCTAGCACCGGTGACGCGACGAAGCCTCAGAATATCGAGAGCTTCGAAAAGTTCGTGATGAAGGGCACTGACGGGCTGGGCGTGCATCTGATGATGGCCGACGGCGGGTTCAGTGTCAAGGGGAAGGAAAATATACAAGTAAGTTTAACAATTTTTCTAACTTATTTTGTCTCAGGAGATCTGCTCCAAACGCATCTACCTCTGTCAACTTCTCATCTCGCTTTGCGTCCTACGCGAGGGTGGCAACTTCTACTGCTGTTTGTTTGACGTCTTCACGCGCTTCTCATACGAGTCGGTTTTGAAGTGATCGTTGGAGGATTACGGCGTCGTAAGGTCCTAAGTCCTAATTTCAGGCTATGTTTCTTGATGACGCTGTGCTACGAGGATGTCTGCATCCACAAGCCGCACACCAGCCGACCGGCCAATTCGGAAAGGTTTTGCCGCTATTGCGAATCCTTTATCCGAATTTAGATACATTGTGTGCAAGGGCTTGAAGCGCGAATACTCTTACCCAATCCGTGACTACCTGAAAAAGGCCAACATTCGCATGGAGAAGCTGTGGAAAGTGGAGAAAGAGGGCAAAAAGACGTGATGGAACTGCTGCCCGGCCACTTTGTCGACGGCAAGCTTACCACTGCTGAAAAGCGATTTCTCGAATACCTCACCGACAGCAATAATAGGTAAGCTCTGAAATAGTTGCTATGTCATAATTTTCTTAGGCTTGCAAAGCGTCAGACGCATTACCTACACAAGTACGCCAAATATGCCCGGAATCCTAATCTGATTGACCGCGATCAAGCCGATCTGCGCGAGCAGTGCATGGCCACTGGAAGGTTGGCCAGCCAGCTTCCTCTTTACGTTTTAGGTCCCCTACGACATCCAGGATAAGAAGAGCCTCAGCGCTTCCCGTCTTCAGGAACTCAACAGTGAGCAGGCGCTGACGATTTTGGAAAGATATGGCAAATATAGCAAGGTACGGTTTTCTCATCAGCACCTAAATTCTAACATTCGGAAAAAAGCTATATAAGAAATAGGGATAATAATATAGGCAATAACGAGAAGCTTGCTATGTCATTTTCCAGATGCTCTCCATCGAGGAGGTTTTTCCGAAATATCACCCATTCCCAGAATTCATCAGGATTTGCGTCCCGAAAAGGCTGATAAGCCACGTTACCGTAACGAGGAGTATCGAGTGTGTGGGCAACAGCGGTATTATAAATTTAATAATTTCGCGAATATTTTGTTAGAATGAGGGCGGCCAGCAGCGACCTCCCATTTTCTGATAGCTGGAAAGGTGCGTTGATTCGCTCAACTGGAGCGTTTTTTATTTTAGGCGCGTGTCTACCTGTACCGGCCGAACTCTAACAACCCCCAAGGCTACGACAAAGGAAGAATACTTTGGGAAATATCGAATTCCGGGCCCATCTGTGCTCTCCGTTGAACTGACCGCATCGGCGGAAGGGGTAGCGCTGAAACTTCAAAAAATTTTCATTGCGTTTTAGGCGTCCCGACAGATTCCAAGCGCCGAAAAAGCCGGTCATCCACATCTTGGACGCTTCTATCCTGGTCGGTGACTATATCCGCGCACTCCCCTACCGAGCGCCTCGGGTACCATCAGAAGTTTTACAGGGCGGCCGCTTTGGTAAAGTTTAGTTACTTATTTCCGGTTTAAAATTGTTTTCAGGTCTCCGGTTCAGTCGGTGTTCAAACACCATTTTTTTCCACAACAGCAGAATTTCAATAAGAACCGCTTATTTGTCAAGTGCGGATTTCGCTTTCGAAGTAAAATTTGTCTATTTTTAGACTGGAACCGATTGTGTTTCACCCGATGGAGTTGGATTTATCCCCAGATGTTCCAAGCTCAGCGAGATTCCACTGGTCCGTTTTGCGCTGTCTTTATTTTGCTTTATTTTCTCCAGCAGCTTTCGACTTCGATAATTTTGTATTTTAGCATCGCCCGGTCCTGACAAAACACCAGAACGAACCCGTGGCTTTCATTCGCGAAGGTCTAACGCTTTCCGCGTCAGCGACCCCATATCACTGGAAATAGTTGAATGGTAAGACTTGAGGCTAACGTACTAAAATATCATCTTTCCAGACCAATGGAGCGATTTTCTGGAGCAACACGGCCAAACAGTGCTACGCGTATTCAGTAGTAAAGGTTGGCGTTAGAGGGAATTTACGCGGAAAGCCATTTATTTAGCAACCTGGTGAGGTAGCCACAAGGCGACATCGGTGTTCCCGACAAATACGCCGAGAGCCAAGTGACGACCACTTCTACGATACAGCTTTCACCAAGAAGTCGCCCTCCCTATTTTCCAGTTCTGGAGTTGGCAGAATAGCCGTATGTTTTTTGCCTTCTTTCTCTGTGTTGTAACTTCGCGCCCGCTCAGCTAAGTTATTGTTTTAGGAGGCAGTTCGGTATCGGCGTACGGCGTGAAAGCATCACGAAGAGCGACTCGCATCAGGATGGCCCTACCCTCCAAGTCGGTTGCGGCCACGATTCAGCCATTCACCGCGCCGAGGCCCGTCAAAGTCGCTTGTCATCCTCCTAGCTGATCTTTAGAAATTTTTGCCCTCTAACGAAGACGTCTCATTGCAAGAGCAGTTCTTTAACTTTTTGATTTCTTGTTTCGCCTCGGCTTGTTCCTATCCCCGTTTTATCTATTTCGAATCATCTCCCGCTTTGCACAACCCATTTAATCCGTTGACGTGCACTGCTGATTTGTTGAATAAAAGTTGTTTGTTATAAAATGCGCCCTAGCACGAAAGTTGAACTTCACAGCGTCAAAAGCCCCTAGAAAAGCGACTCTCGATTCTCCCAAGAAAGACGATTCGGTTTATCACATTTATCGGCGGCGTAGGTATTACCGGAATTTTACAAGTTGAGATCGGTGCACACAGAAGCACGGGATACGCATCACGCATCTATGAAAATCATCGAATATTCGCTTGTTCTTGGTGATTGTTTTGGTCTTGACGAGTCGCTCGTGTCGTTCATCGGATTCGGTCTCGATCGCATGGATGAGGTAGCCGCGCGCGTAGATTCCGGCCTAAAGTTCAAATGTAATGCAGTTCTGTTAGCAGTTGATTCGTCGATTAGAAATTTTGGCGCTTCCGTGTTGAGTTCTGATCCAACCTATGCCGGCCGAGCAATCGGATAAACTATAGTTGTAATTGTTTTGGTACCTTCCGCTCATTGAAACATGGTAAAAACCTTATTAAAATAGCCTAAAGATCTGGTTTTTGATCAGTTTGGCCATTTTCTTACATTCCCTGACTAAAGGCAACGTTCTGGAAACAGGTGAGTGCTTATCTGGGAGGGTTTTCATATACACAAACAGTGTAAAACGCTAACACGGAAGCACCGAAATTTTGAATATCCGAGCAAAACAGGCAGCACTGCCCTTCAAACGAAACAAACATACCTTTCATTCAATGTGAGGGCTTTCGTTATAGCGGCTCGCGCCAGAGGGAGATCCCCCGAACCGTACGCTGCAGGAATTCTGTAGCCAGGGACAGGCTCATATCGTGTACTGCGTGTCCATTCTGCGGGTCGGGTGGAGGGCGGCTGAAAAAATTATAGAAAT